GTGGCTTGATGCCTTTAACTTACTTCATATATCTACTTTATTTGACTTTTATTACATGCACTAGCAGGGCACTTTTGTACACGCATTCCGTCTTCTGCGAGACCGCCGCAGCTGTCGGGAGTTTTTCTACGTGGCCTTCCCTCCAGGTACTGGCAGTCTGCGCAGTCAAGCTTGGCTCGTCGGCCGAGCACTGTTGGCCAGACAGGCGTCTAGGCTATAGCCTGAGGAGCAGTTCACCCATGGCACGCACACGTGTACGGTCGTTGTCTGACGCACTCCCACTCTGGCCGCCATTGAGGTCACCCCTTTACCTGGTCGAGCCCTCCGACCTTCTCACACAATGGTGAAAAGAAACCTTCAGCCCTTGAAAGCAGCCGGTGGATACTGCCTGGACAATACTACCCTGCTGTGGATGTTCAGTTCAGGAGACATCTGCACGTCTGTCACGCTAGGTACTCTTGTACTTGTACTTGATACGGCTGCGATCATGCCTGATCTAGACGGCCTCGATGATGTCCCGAATTGTACCTCTCCACGCGTGACGATCCGCGGCAGCAGATCTGGACAGCTCAACCCATTCCCTTCGCCAAAGACGGAGACCAAATACCGAAGGTCCAAGAACCACCTCCATGTCTTGACGAACTGTGTCGAGCCAGATCTTGAGCTGACCCCATCTTCGACGCCTCCACTGGGGCAACGGGGCCGGATCGAGGGCAGTAACACTGAGCGCCTGAGGTGGACGACGAAGAACATGTCCAAACCACATCAGTCGTTTTTTTTCTTGGATGGCCTGAGTTATCCTTGCGGTGTTGTCGCAGCGAGCGCGGACTGTCTCATTTGTGACAAAGTCGGTGAACTTCACTCAAAGGATGGTCCTCAAACAGTGGTGGTCAAATACCTCAAGTTTTCGCCCGTCCTTCACGCACAAAGCCCAGCATTCACAACCGTAGAGAAGGACAGATCGGAGAGATGCACGGCACACGCGAATCTTAGTGGCGATGGAGAGGTCACGCCAGATCCGCTTGAGAAAACCCAGTGGGCAGCATCGATTCGGGAGACAATGTCGTCCTTACTCTGTCAATTAGCCAGCAGCCCCGCCTCGAGGTATTTAAAACTGTCTACTTCTTCAAGTTGACAGCCATCAATCCCGAGGGGTGGTTTCGCCTGGTCAGGATGCAGCTTGAAAACGCTCTAGTCCTCCCATCGTTTATGGATAAACCGATCGATTTAGCGACCTCGTTCACCCGTGACCCCATAGGCTGCAGATCACCAAAACGTAAAGCAAGTAAGGCGATATCATCGGCATAGTCGAGATCACCGTGACACCATAGACTGCTCAGGGGTTCTTTCGCGCACTACTAGGTGTTTTGCCCACCGGAACTGTGTCCCACTGCTGGCTGTGAGGTAGATGCGGTGGTCCAACAGGGGAGGGGGGGCATATCCGATTCTGGTAGACGTTATTGAAATGCGCACCACAACAAATACCAACATACTCGGTGTGGTGGCAGCCCCAGTTGCTAGCTCACGTCGCGCCGCCCCCATTTTTTGTATTGTTCAAAATCCTGGTCATTGCTGTGTGGACCAGCGGGTGTGATCCTCAACTCATGGACCATCAGACGGCGCTCTTCCAGGAGATGTGGCATCAAGGAGAAGTCCCGCAGGATTTTAAGGACACCACAATCGTCCAACTCTATAAGCGGAAAGGTAATCGCCAGCTCTGCAACAATCATAGAAGCATCTCCCCGCTGAATATCCCCAGGAAAATCTTCGCTTGCATTATCCTCAACCGTCTGAACAACCTTCTGGAACAGGGTCTCCTGTCGGAAAGCCAGTGCGGCTTCCGCCGTCATCGTGAAACCACCGACATGATCTTCACCGCCCTCCAACAGCAGGAGAATTTCCAGGATATACGGATCCGCCAAAATGGCGGCACCAAACCCACACGACACCGGTGATCGCCTTGGCATGTTTTCCCCACCCTGACCGCGATTTCTTGGAGGAGAAACCGGCAAGTAACCGCGGTGGCGGCGGTGGCGGCGACAGCAAGCGCACATTTGTGCTGACGATTCGCACTCACCACGTCACTGCGCCACCATTGGGCTTTGAGGCTTTTTATAAGACAAACCTCGGACGTATTACGCGCCGTTGTTGGTTCGCGATTGCTTATTTGTCTGACCTTCATGAAGGCCTTTACCGAATTTGTGAGTGTTCGGGCGCTCCTTTTCACGAAGATGGTCGTTTGGGTCACATGTGAAGACTCAATCAAACATCAAACTTCATTTTCGAGAAAACTGACTGTCCAGAACGAAAGTCAGCAAAGAATATGCCTTTGATGAATAAGAAAACATTCCTTAACAAGTTGCCCGAGTCTAGGGCATGTATTAGCATAGAAAATTGCACAAATATATTCCAACGTCCATTTTCGCTAAAATTTACTGATAGTTTACTTGATATAATTACGTAAACACAATTTCTGTACAAGAAAAGCACGTTTCCCTGAAGGAAGTGGATGAGCGAACGAAATGCGCAACGTTAAAGACGTCCACAAATTTTCGCATCAGTCTCCGATTTCAGATTTCATGAGTTAGGTCACGTACTGTATCTTCAAATTTAAAACCCGCGGCTTGACCTTGACCATCCCTCTTGTGGCAGTCTGCGCAGTCGACGTGGGTCGTCGATCCAGCATTGTTGGTTAGACAGCGTGGGCAGTCCGCCCGCCAAGGCGCCGACCCCTGACGCCCACGCGTACGCGGTCGTCGGCATCGATTTGCCTCGCGCGCTCTCACTCTGGTCGACATTGTGGTCAACCCTTTTCCTGTTCGAGCCCTCCCACCTCCCGACACAATGTCGACACCAAACTCACACGACACCGGCGATCGCCTCAGTATGTTTTCCCCACCCCGACCGCGACTTCTTGGAGGAGAAGCCGGCAAGTAACCTCGACGGCGGCGGCGGCGGCGACAGAAAAAGCACGTGTGCTGACGGTTCACAATCGCCACGTCACCGCGCCACCATTGGGCTTTGTGGCTTTTTATTATAAGGCGGTCTGCGTACCAAACCTCGGGCACATTATGCGCCATTGCTAATCCGCGACTGCCTATTTGTATGATCTTCACGAAGGACCATCTGTGAACGCGTAGGACAATCAGTAATTAGGTAAACAAAGAGTGCCGTCTTCGGAATTTCCCCAAGCAGAAGAACTATCCCTTAGTCAGTCTACCGTGCAAGCCAGACTATCGCCTACGCATTAGGTTTGACCATTGTCCTACGAGCGGCGTAAGCAGATTTAGCCACAATACATATCGTACTCGTTGCAATAGCAAGGCGTGAATGTCAGAGGCCACGTAGGGTGGGTAACTTCAGTGCCTAATATGCCTTATTCCTATACCACCATCGCATCCGATATCCGGCCGTTTACTGACTGGATGCGACGTGGGATGCCGTGGGCAGCTCAGGTTAACTGTGGTCGACTTCTCATTAGATAAACATTGTAACACATAGTGAAATATGTTTTGTAATCAACCCGTCTCACCAAGGTTCCCTTACTAGTTCGGAAGCAGTGGGATCGAGTTTCCAGTTTTGAACTCGGGCGGGCAAAGGGCGAGAGGGACAGTCCGCATTGAGTGAGGACGCATAATCAGTCGACAGCTAATGCTGACAGGCTTATGTAGCCAATGAGGACTGGCGGCCCCCAGTACTTATCAGTTAGTAAATATGCGCAGTGCACAGTAGTGGCCTCGTAGACCACCTGCCAAATCCCATCACCAGGTAGTTGACAGACCCGGACAGTCAAATGGTTCATGCAAAAGGGAAAGGAAATCGAATGAGGTCAACACCAGGGAATCCATCCGCATGGCATTTCAATGCATTACTCATTATAGTAAACCTAACGCAACTGAATCTATCACGGCGAGCTGATAGTCCTGGCTTGGAAGGCGGCCGACTGACCCGGTGGTTCAGTCTTCCCAGAACCACCGCAGAGGCTCCTTCTTACTGTGCCCTCTATGACACCCTCGCTTAAGTGGGACCCGTGTCGCCCATTCCCCCTGGAAACCTGTTGCCCCTTGCGGGGACAGGATCACGCGCAGCAAGCGTAGACAGGCTATCGACAAATGCCCCGCCGGCTTCTTCTATTGGATGTTGAATACATAGACCTTCGTCTCACCACTTTGGCCTTATTCAACCATACTTATATGATCGTCATGAAGGAACCCTAGTCAGTTCTTCTTTCTTTAATTGTAGATAAGTATTGGGGTTTTGATTCGTGCTTCCCAGGGCGTCACTCTAGGTCCCCTTCTTTTCGTTTCGTCCATCGCCGACATATCATCAACAGGTAGACACGTTCGATTTTATACCAGTGCTGGTCACTTTAAACACGTATGTCCTCTCTCTTTACAAAGATGTAGCTCATCGACACACCGATCAGATCAAAGCTGACTTTAATGCTTGTTTCCCAAAGTATAATTCTACCGCACAAATGAAATATAATCCCTCTAAGCGTCGTTTTATGTGTTTTAGCCCAAAGAGACTGCCGTTCCCTTCTCCTCTAAAAGCACTCATATGCTCGAACGTTTCTTCACATGGAATATCTCGGCTCAATTCATGCGAAACGTCTGGATTTCTCCGCTCATTCTAATGAGATTACGGCTTGCGTTTTATTTTGCAGACCGATTTCCCCCGTGAAATGAAATCGAGGTCTTCTTCCGTCGATGCTCCTCTCTTTCTCTCCCTCCCCCCATTTTTCATCATTGAGGCGGGCGTATGTTTGTGCTCCTGACACTGGTTTTCAAGTGATCGACTAGGCCGATGTGTGAGGGAGAAGAAGAAGGCCCGTTGACTCCGGAGGAGACCACCTGATTCATTATGCCAACCGCGAGAACAACA